AGAAGAAGAAGAAGAAGAAGAAGAAGAAGAAGAAGAAGAAGAAGAAGCCATCTTTAATGAATTTCAAAATTTAACTAAGAAAGAAGGAAGGAAGAAAGGAAGGAAAATGAAGGACTTAAGGTTTAAAAAAACACTCAAGAAATAGAAAAATAAGGTGCAAAATCAATATAATGATAGTAAACAAAAGAAAAAAGGAACACAACAGAGAAGGGAAGCCAGCAAGGCAGAGGCTAGGAGAAGGGGGGGTAGGAAGGTCTGGTGGGGGAAGAAAGAAAAGGAAAAGGTGGAGAAAAGCCACAAAGTTTTGAAATCAGATGGGAAAAGAGGAATCTTTTTTAGGGACAAAGGGTAAAGTACAATCTTTTTAAAAAAGATTTTGCAAGGTACATAAGATGGTATTGTAGCATTTGTATTAGAAATAGAAAATTAGAATGGTTTAAGAGTTAATAAGAGATTAAAATGTTGAAATGTTTAGTAATGATTGATTTTAAAATTTAATAAAATATTAAAGGGAATGTTTAGAATATTGAGTTTTAATTAAAGAGTTTAATATGACTATGGTATTGATGTTATTATAAAATTATTATAGTAGCATTTGTTTTTGGAAAAGGCAATGGGAATGTTATAAGATTCAATATTTAGATCTATTATTTAACTATGTATTTAATCATTTTGGATTTATTATTTTTCTTTTATTAAAAAAAAAATTAAATTAGTACATAGAATGTACCAAGCAGAATCAGATTGGGTATTAGGTGTTATTTTAAATGTTAATCTAATTAATTTAGGGGGAAGATAGAAAGGCATCATACTCTGATTAGTGATTTCAGGAGAAATTTTTTTTTATTATTATAAGGAATGAGATAGAGGGATAATAAAGAATGGACAAAAGATACAAATATAATGACTCAAATTAAGATGGATTAAATAAGATAGAATTAAGAAGAGTGAAATGTGTGGAGAAGCTAATATAGAAGATATAGAATGGTAAATAAAATAGGTAATGATATGTAAGATGAGCATGAATATAACTGAAGTCCATGTAGAGAGAGGTACCTGGGGCCAAGTTACTTTCCTAAAAGATTTTTTATATGTTTGTGTGTTGTGTGTTTATGTTTTTGGGAGAATTAATAAAACCTTGCAGAAATACAGAATGAGAATAATGGTAATCAAGTCAGAAAGAAATAGATGAAATAATAATAGTGAAATTGAATAAGAGTAAAGAGAAGTAAAGAGAAATTGGATAAGAGGTATTTGTATGCTCATATGGAAATGGTTTAAAATAGAATTATATTGTATAAAATAAGGTTTTATTTGACTTGTAAAATTTATAATGGAAAAAGGTTTAAGTATGTAATGGTTAATGATGATTTGTTTGTCTTAAAAATTAATAACATTTGTTTAAAAAAAAAAGACTATTGCAATATTAATTAAGTGTCAGGATTCCGGCAGTTACCCCAATTAAATCATGAGTCTCGAGCCAAACTTCCAAAACTTCAAAAGAATTTATTGGGAGTTAACATGTCCGGCACTGCCTGGGTGTAGCCAACTCTGAGACACATCATTCATTGTCACCCTTGACCCTGGTTTTCCCTCCACCCCTTGGGTGTATCATAATTCATATTCTCCAATGGGACACATCCGTAGCCAAGAGTCATCAATCATGCTCTCCAGTTAGATATTTGTGTGGCAGAAACTTCAGTCACCTAGTTACTATATTTGAAAAATGGAATGCACTTTCGATTTCCAAGCTGCTCTCCCTTTCTGTTGGCAACTCTAAAAAGACCATAAAAATATTTTATGAGTTGACATTAAGAATATTGGAATTTAAAAAAAATGTAAGAAGCCCTTCAAATGAAACATGATTCACAAAATGAACCTGTTGAATATTAGCCATTTCCCCTGGATAAACATTTGGGGAGCCAGGACATTTTTTGAAGATTCAGTCAGTCACTCTGCTAATCTGAAATCTCCCGATATCAAGAACAGACGCTCTGTAAGAGTGCTTTGCCTGGTTTAGCTAATATGTGCATATGTGTTTGCGAAATTTCTCCATCTAACGACTGATATAAAATGGACTGTATTTGATTGCATTGTCCAAGCACTTCAAGAGTTTAGTCCAATGTTTCCAAATCATGGCAAACTTTCAGATGCTTAGACTTCAACACACACTGAAGTCAAAGACTTAACATTCACACATATTAAAATTGCCAAGGTTGGAAAACACTGGTCTAGTTGCTATTGCAGCAAAATTCAAATTACTGTAATTGAAGGCTTTCTCCACAATTAACCAACATGCTCTTACATGTAATAGGAATTATGTTGTGCCAGGATACATCCCTCCCCAGAAGGGAAAAGGGGAAAGTTTGTTTAAAGCCACTGGAATCCAACTTCCTACCTGTGCTGGTTTCATTGTCTGGCTCCCAGGATAAGCACTAAATGTGCTTTGTCCTGCACTCCTGCTGCTGGACTCCACCTCAAAATATGGTGCTTCTGGAGAGAGCAACAGAGGTAAAACCAAGTATAGAAAAACTATGGGTTCTGTTACATCCTTATATTGATAAATTTATTTTGCTACTCCGCATTATTATACATTAGCTCCAATTTTGCCTGTTAGTTAATTTTAATTTTAATGTTGGTTAATTTTGCCTGTTAGTTTCTGTTAGAAACGACGCTAGAGAGCACATTGCACACCAGAGCTAGACACAAGGAGTGTTTGCCATCACTCTGCTAAATAAATAATTCCCTCAACACTGTCCAACTATTTACTAAGTCTGCATACTATTACTATTACTATTAATCTTCTCATCCTTCCTTTCACCCATCTCCTCCCACTTATGACTGCATGAATGTAACTTTATTGCTTGTATCCTTAGTATTTTTTAATTGACTGTTTACTAGGATAATTTGATTTGATCGCTTATTATTATGTTTCCTAGTATGATTTGATTGCTTATTTGTACCCTTTGACTACTATTGTGTTATACCTATGATTCTTGAGGAATATATATTTTTTCTTTTTATGTACACTGAGAGCATTTGCACCAAAACGAATTCCTTGTGTGTCCAATCACACTTGGCCAATAAAGAATTCTATTCTATTCTATTCTATTCTATTCTATTCTATTCTATTCTAT